TTCCTTGTCCTCGTCCTCGTCCTCGTCCTCGTCCTCGTCCTCGTCCTCGCTTCCTTCCTCCTCGAGAGTGGTGTGAGGATCTTCATTCCGGTGGGCGGCAGTGGCTGCGTCGCAAAGGGCAGAGGCCTGGCTGCCAAGGGAGAGGTTCTGCGGGACCGAGGAGGGTAGGAGGCGGGAGGGAGGGGAGGAAAGCATGAACGGAAAGGAAAAAGGGCCAGCCCGTGTTCTGATTCAGGTCTTACCTCCTCGTCTTCCTCTTTCTCCTCCTCCTCTGTCAGTAGCCCCGGTCTTCGCATTTTCTCACGCGCCTGCACAGAGGCTGAGACGGAAGCGAGAAGCAGCGTGGAGTCGGAGGGCGGGTGCGAGGTAGGGATGGAGGGCGAGGGGGAGGTATGGGTCTGTAGGGAGCGCTGCAACTGTCGTTCCCGCTCGATAAGGCGACGTTGCCTGCGTTCAAGTGCGTCTTCCCTAAGGAAGGGGAAGAGAGGCGAGAGAAGGGGAGGGCGAGGAGGGATGAGGAGGGGAAGGAGAGCGAGACAAGAGGACAGAAGACTGGCACACCTGCACCGGAGCGAGGTCTCTCGCTGCTTGACTTCTTCTTCCCGGGCACGGACTTGCTTCATACTGTAAGCGAGGGGGGGCGGCGAGGGTGAGATCGGAGGGGAAAGCGAGAGGGACAGGGGGAGGGAGGGAGGGAGGGAGGGAGAGAAGGGGACGCACCGCGCGTGGTAGCGAGCTTGAAGCTCGTACTCGAGAAGGAGGGCTCGGGACTCACGGAGGTGGGGAGCCAGCGAGGGCACAGCTTTTTCCAAGGTCTCAAGCTGAGGGCGTTTTGCTGTCAGTCGCGAGGGAGGGAAGGAGGGATAGAAGGAGGGAAGGAGGGGGGGACGTCAGAGGGGGAGAGAGAATGTTGGTACAAGGAGACAGCTCTCTTGTGACTAAAGACAGCACGTAGCCCGGTATCGGTCATGTGCTCTCACGCGTTGCAAGCCCTACCAGGATTTTTGTGCAGCATGGCGCGAATGACTTGCTGGAGCTCGTCCGAATATCTGTGCGGGGAGAGAGGACGGAGAGTGGGAGAGGGATTGAGCTCGTAGAAGAGACCGAGAGAGCTTGGATCCCGATGCCTGGTCAGTCAGGGCGGATAGGGAGGGCCGCCGTGGACGCACCTGTCAGGGATGCGAGAGATCTTCCCGGCATTAATTTTGTGGGCGAGCGAGGCGTGGGAAGAGGCATCGAAGGGGGGCCGGAGGGCGGCAGCCTCGTACTGGTGGATAAAGACATGGATCGAGGAGGTGAAGGGGAAGGATGGGTTGTATAGGTGAGGAAGGAGGAGGTCCAGGGCCTTGGGGCGGCCTCCAAGGACGAGCCACGGGGCAATGCTCAGAGTGTGTGTGTGTGTGGAACGGGCAAGAGCACTCACCAGGAGACAGCCCACGCTCCATAAGTCAGCCCCATCATCGTAGGATTGATGGTTCACCAGCTCGGGAGACATGTAGTAGGGCGTGCCTACATTGGTGGCTGCGAATGCTGGGAGGGAGGGAAGGAGGGATTTAGGGATTCAGGGAGTTAGGGAAGGGGAGGAGGAAAGTGAGCGGACGATGGGAGATGCAGGAAGGACGGAGGCACGCACCGCGTTCGTTGTCGAGCTCCTTCGCCAGGCCGAAATCGGCGAGTTTGATGTTGCGATCCTACAGGCAAAGACGGTGAGGGAGAGGCAAGGAGAGGTGAGGTCACGGGCGGGGTACAAGTGCCGCGTCGTGGGAGGGAGGGAAAGTAGCGGAGGAAATACCTGATCGAGGAGGACGTTGGCAGGTTTGATGTCTCGATGGAGAATGGGCCGGGCGCGTCGATGGCAGTCCTGGACAGAGAAGACATGCGCCAGTTGTGGGGTGGAAAGGGTGAGGAAGGAAGGGAACGAAGGAGAAGGGAAGGAGGGATAGCGGGGGGTCGAGGCGGACCTTGAGCGCCACAATGAGCTGGGCGAGTACACGCCAGATAAAACCCTCATCGATCCAACGGCCCTCGCGTCGACAGGTTTTGATCAGGCGGCGAAGATCACCACCCTGAGGGGGCGGGAGAAGCCGGAGGAAACGGGAGACGAGCACGGCGTGTGAGCATGAGTCGGAAGCCCGGGGAGGGCGGGACGAAAGAATATACGTACCGGGCAATGCTCCATGATGATGTAGCACTTTTTGCTCGCGCGCTCGATCACGTGGTCGTAGAAGCGGACGATGAAGGGGTTACGAAGGTCCTTGAGGATGTTCACCTAGCTCGAGGCGGGGGGCAGGTGCAAGATTAGGACAAGAGCTGAGCGATTTGTCCCTCCATATCGACACAGCGCCAGGCCTCGAAGCACAGAGTCTTTCAGATCCTTGCACAATGGCCTCCCCACACGCATGATCGCATGCTGGTTTTGGGGCTTACCTCGTCGGCAATGCGTTGCTTCTCTAGGGGACGCATGTGCGCGTAGTTGATCT